AGGTTATACCTAGCAACTTGCAAGATCGAAGTCTTATTTGAGGAGTGGATTGAAGATTGGAGTCACTGATACTATAACGATCCGGGTTTTGGACCCGACCTTCATCCTATTCTGGGCTTAGGTTTTGCAGTTCAATAATGTATTTGTACTTTGTTTTTCTCCTTTGACATTTGGATTTGAGTTTTTGCTGTGTTAGGCGTGTTTTGGGCAGGACGGTTGTTGTGTGGTTGAAGTATTTCCTACCCAGATTTTGACCTCTTCGCTCGAGCGAGGCTTTCTGCGCTCGAGCGAGCTTTGTGAAATCTGCTTCTTCGCTCGAGCGAGATTTCCTTCGCTCGAGCGAGTTTTGTGGGTCTTCTGGTTTCCTTCTCAGACGCAATTCCCGCTCGCGCGAGCTTTTTGGCGCTTGAGCGAGGCTTGAGTATTCATATCTTCGCTCGAGCGACATCTCTTGCGCTCAAGCGTGCGTCTGCGTCTCTGCTGACCTAATGGTTAGTATTCTTAGCTCAAGCGAGCCTTCTTGCGCTTGAACGAGCCCTGTGTTATGTGTTTCTTCGCTCGAGCGAGAGCTCTTACGCTTGAGCGTACGTCTACTTCTATGGCAGACCTGAAGCTTTGAATTGTGCGCTCTAGCGAAACTTCTTACTCTCAAGTGAGGCCCCTAGTTATTTCTGGTCGCTCAGCCGACAAGTCTTTCGCTCAAGTGAGGATCGCGATTTCAGCTTTTTAAACATAGCGATATTGGATCATTTTGAGCACAACACTTTTCTACTCTTCAGTCATTTTCTCTCCCCTTTGAAACCCTAACTTTCTACCATCAAATACCTCTGATACACTTGTGATTCACCCAAAATCATTTGCTAGGGGCGAAGAGTACTCGAAGAAGGTCATTCTCATCCAATTGGATTGTGGGTTTGGGGTAGATTCGTGGAGGGGCTTGGACATTTGGCTCTATAGTTGAGGTAGGGATACTTTTACTCTCGTATATTTTCATTTTTGAAGAGATTTATGGTATTTAATGAGAACGGTGCATTAATTGTAGATTGTGTGATATTGAACCCACATTCCTCTTTTCTTTATTTCTTTTCTTTTGTTTATCATTAGTTAGAAATTCCCCTTCTCTTCTCGTCAAAATGATTAGAAATGTGATTAAGAAATTAGATTGTGATAAAGAGTGAGAAACCCCAAATTTGGTAAAACCCTAAGTTTCTAATTTAAATGTGAATTACTTTGTGTGATGAAATCTTCTCTTAGATCAAAGACATGGATAAATATATGAGAAATGAAATGTGGCATTCGTTGTGGTTAGAAAAATGGTGATTTGGATGCTATGGTTTATTGAAATTTATGAGTTGCTCCTCTATGACTATGTTTAATGATTCAAATGTGGGTTTGAAATGTGATTTAAATTGTTGACATACATGAGTCCTTGTGTGTGTCGGTGAAGGGTATAGTTGGTGTTGTGTCAGTGCCCACACGTGGAGTTTGAAAAGGTGCCCAATTGCCCTGTCTAGGCTCATCACTGGACGAATATGGGAAAAATGTTTTTGGGTGTCCACACAGTCCCGCCGTATAGTAGCCGGCGAAAGTGGAAAAATGAATGATTTTCTTAGGGTGCCCACCTCCCGCCATATAGTAGCCGGCGAGTGTGAGGGTTGACTTTATAAAGTAAATGGTGCACTTGGTTAAGTTTATGTAGAGAGAAGTATAGTCGCTTGTGGATGTTTTTGGATGTTTGACTATAGTCTATGGTTGACTTGAGTTGTATTTATCATATTGTCTCAAAATACTTTCTTATAAACGGTTGATCATTTCTTGTGAAAATAAATCTTATTAAAGCACTTTATCTTATGAATGCCATTATCTTATTCAAATGACTAGATACATGGGTAAATATGTTTCTACTGGGCATCTAGCTCAACCCTAATCTAATTTTTCAGGAATTAATGAAGGGCAACCTCAATGAAGGATGGTCTAAGTATTAGCTTTATCAACTTATGGGGAATTAATTGAAGACAAGGACTCTATTTGTCATGTGTTTATTATGATGCTTTTGTAATAGAACTATTTCTTTTATTTTGTAATCGTAGATGCCATAGGGCCTTAATTTTGTAAGTGGTCTAGTTCACTGAACAGGGAGAAACTGCTTGAACATCTTGGGATTGTAATCTACGTTTTTAACTCTTTGTTCAATGAGAAAAATGATCTTGTGGGCTTTTGTGTATATGGTATTGGTAGATGTAATGGCGTGTTTATCCAAGGCATTACAAGTTGGTATCAGAGCAATAGGCTCAAATACTTTGGGTTTGTGGGAAGTGACGTAGATCACAACTAGGTCCTTAGGTCAGGATGGAATGTTTAGGATATCTTGTGTGCTATATGCTTTTATGTGATTATAGGAATGTGGGGTTAGGCTCCTAGGACATGGCTAGGTCTGTTACATTCATCTAAATCCTCTTGGAAAGGCACGTGATCACTGTTCTTTCCATCTGGATGTCCTTGATTACCATGGGCTTAGCTAACATCTAGGGAGGATGACTCATGTGTGCTTCTATGTGAATATTTTGTAATTGTTTGAATTGATTGAAGTATAACCGTATAAGGGTTGCACGGGGAGTGAGTGTAGAGCACTTAGGTGCGAAAACTCCTTATTGAATTTAACCTTGTCCCTGTTTTCTTTTCTTATAGATGTCAGAGCGTGCTAGGCCTTGGGGTAGACCCCATCGGGGTGGCAAGAATATCCCCGTTCAACCTGAGATCCCTCCACAAGAGGAGGGAGTGGGTCAAAACAACATTCCCATTCCACTAGCCCAAGAAGCTGTGAGGGCTTTGGCGAGGGAGATGGCAGGGGCTCTACGGCAGTCCATGGAAATATTGAGAGTTGAACAAGTGGCTAGAACCATCGAGGGGGAAACAAGAGCTTCCTTTCTGAAAAAGGAGTTCTTCCGTTCTAATCCAGCGGAGTACAGTGGTGAAACCGACCCAATGAAAGCTGATGAGTGGTTGGAGCATATAGTCAAGTCTTTCGAGATCTTAGACATCCAAGAGCATGGGTTGCTAGTGGCATTGGCGGCCTACCGATTGAAGGAGGAGGCCGGGCAATGGTGGCAATTTATCAAGCATAGGGTCGACCACATGTGGGAAGCATTTGTGCAAGCTTTCCAAGACAAATTCCTCCCTCTCACGGCTAGGGAGCGATTGAGGAAACAATTTAAGCAACTATTATAATTAGATACCCCGATGGTGGAATATGAGGCGAAGTTCACTAGCTTATCTCGTTTTGCACCCGAACTGGTGGCTACTGAAGAAAGGAAATGCCTTGAATTTGAGAAACGGTTGAGGCCAAAGATTCTGATGAAGGTAGTTGGCAACATGATCCGTGATTATGACCGATTGGTTAAAGCAACAGCTCATGTAGAGATCATAGTGGAGGCTGAAGAGGCAAGGCAGAAGTCTAAGAGATTAGGACAATCTGATACCAGGAGTGACACGGGTTCTTCTAAGAGGTCTAAGTGTTTATCATCATCTTGGCAATCATCTCCACAACAAGCCAAATCTTCGAGCTTTGTGTTAGGTAGGAGTTCGGGAAACATGCCCCGAGTTACTGGTGCATGTTATAGGTGTGGCCAAATGGGTCATAAGGCAGCGGAGTGTGGACAGAAGGGTGGAACACGGTCTCAGTCTGTGCGGCCACAGGGTTAGCCTCAAAATAGGGGTCAGCCCCAATCTTGTTATCAATGTGGACAACCTGGGCATTTGAAGAAGTTTTCTCCACAAAAGACAGGAGTTTTGGAAGTGGTGGGATCTAGGCTGTTTGGAAGTTTACAGATGGGTCAGGGGTAGAGACACTCATATCAGTCGATTCAATCAGGACAAGCACCCAGGGCAGTTCAAGGAGCTACATCTGCTCAGTCCACACCACAAGCTTATGCTCCGAGGAGTGACATGGGGGATCAGAGGTCGCAAGGCAGAGTATATGCTATCACTACTTCTGAGCCAGCCACGGGGCCATTAGTGGTGAGAGGTACATTTCTTCTTTTCAATACTTGGGCTAAGGTGTTGATCGACACTGGAGCATCGCATTCATTTATTGCTACGTCTTTGCACAATTGTTAGGGATAGAGAGTAGACAACTACCAACTCCACTAACTGTAGAGTCACCAGTAGGGGGAAAGGTCATTCTGAACTGGGAATGTCGAGGGTGTATTATTGAGGTAGCCGGTCGACAACTCTTGTTTAATCTTATAATGCTGGAGATGGGGGCTTTTAATGTTATTCTCAGAATGGATTGGTTGTTCACTTACCGAGCGATAATAGATTGTCATCGGGTGAGGGTTACCATGTGCACTGCAAATGGTGATTGTTTCATGTTTTTGGGGGATAGGTGAGATAAGTCCTTATCGTCCTCTTACTATCCACGTGGTCGAGAGTAGATTGATTTTCTTTTAGCAACCCTTCGGGAGGACTGTAGTGACGTAATTCGAGAGGAATTTCCAAGAGTAGTGTGTGATTATCCTGACGTTTTCCCTAAAGACCTCATGCAATTGCCACCTCACATGGTGGTAGAATTCACCATAGATTTGCTACCGGGTACGGCACCGATTTTGTTGTCACCATATAGATTTTCCCCAACTGAATTAGTGGTTCTGAAGGAACAGTTGCAAGAGTTACTTAGTAAGGGTTTTATACGCCCTAGCACGTCACCTTGGGGAGCCTCGGCCTTGTTTGCGAAGAAGAATGATGGGTCCTTGAGACTGTGTATAGATTATCGTAAATTGAATCAAGCCACAGTTAAGAACAAATACCCCTTGCTTAGAATTGATGACCTCTTTGACCAACTTAAGGGCTCTCATTGTTTCTCCAAAATCGATTTCAGGTCGGGTTATCATCAAATTCGAGTTAGGGAAGAAGATATTCCCAAAACCGCCTTTTGAACCCGATATGGTCATTACGAGTTCTTGGTTATGCCTTTTGGGTTAACCAATGCCCCAGCTACATTCATGGATCTAATGAATAGGATCTTCCGAGAATTCCTTGATAAATTTGTGGTTGTATTCGTAGACGATATCCATATCTATTCACCTTCTGAAGAAGAGCATGAAGGGCATCTTCGTACGGTTTTGCAGCTTCTTAGAGAGCATCAATTATATGCGAAGTATGAGAAGTGTGAATTCTGGCTTTCACAAGTGAAATTCTTGGGTCAAGTAATTTCGGGACACAGGGTTATGGTGGACTCGTCAAAAATAGAAGCAATGTTAGATTGGGAGCAGCCTAAGAATGCCTCGAAAATTCGTAGCTTTTTGGGTTTAGCTAGTTACTATCGCCGGTTTGTAAAGAATCTATCTTCTTTAGCATCGCCCTTAACAAGGTTGACCTGCAAAGGAGTGAAGTTTATTTGGAATAAAGCATGTGTGAACTTCTTCCAAGAATTAAAATACAAATTGACCACTACTCCAATTCTCATCATTCTGGAACGAGGGCTAGGTTATACAGTGTACTGTGATGCTTCCAGAGAGGGATTTGGATGCGTTTGAATGCAAGAAGGAAAGGTAGTGGCTTATGGTTCGCGCCAATTGAAGGCCCATGAAAGAAACTATCCAACTCATGATCTAGAACTCGCCGCAGTTGTTTTTGCTTTGAAGTTGTGGAGACATTATCTCTATGGCAAAAAAATTTGAAGTCTTCTCCGACCACAAAAGTCTCAAGTATTTATTCTCTCAGAAAGACTTAAACTTGCATCAACAGAGATGGATAGAGTTCCTTGAAGACTATGATTTGAGATACACTACCACCCTGGTAAAGCTAACGTAGTGGCGGATGCCTTGAGTAGGAAGTCAGTGGGTCTGATGGCTAACCTAGCGATGAACGAGTGGAAGATGATGGGAGACGTCAACGAGTTTGCTCTACAGCTTGGTGAGTTTTCGGGACAACCTACCCTTTTTGCCACTGTCGGACAACCAACTCTTGTTGCAAAGGTAATTGATGCTCTATTGGGGGATCCTGAAGTGGAAGCTATAAGAAGGAGAATTAATCTCGGAAAGGAAGAGAGGGGTTTAAATGTTTATGCAGACTCTAGTGTCTGTTATCTCGATCGGTTGTTTGTGCCTGAATCAATGAGAAAGGAGGTTTTGAAAGACTTTCATCATTCACGTTTTGCTGTACACCCAGGGGGCACCAAAATGTATCATGATTTAAGCCGCCAATTTTGGTGGAGAGGCATGAAAAAGGATGTAGCCTTTTTTGTGTCCAAGTGTTTAACATGTCAACAAGTCAATACGGAACACCAAAGACCAGCAAGACTATTGCAACCCCTCCTAGTCGCCGAATGGAAGTGGGAATATGTCAATATGGATTTTGTCTCTTGTCTCCCTAAGACTCAGTGAAGTAATGATGCAGTGTGGGTGATTGTTGATAGACTTACTAAGTCGGCTCATTTCCTCGCCATGAGTATGGGGGACTCCGTAGAATTTTTAGCAAAACTTTATATTCGTGAGATTGTTTGTCTCCATGGAGTGCCAGTCAGCATAGTGTCTGATAAGGACCCTTGCTTTACAGCTAGGTTGTGGCAAAGTCTTCAAAGTGCCTTGGGAACACAATTGAACTTTAGTACGGCTTACCACCCGTAAACCGATGGGTAATCCAAACGTGTTATTCAGATTCTAGAAGATATGTTAAGGGCCTGTGCACTGGATTTTAAAGGATCTTGGGAGAAGCATTACCCTTGGTGGAATTCGTGTATAACACTAGCTTTCAAGCCATATTGGAATGGCACCTTTTGAGGCGTTGTATGGGCGTTCGTGTAGGTCACCGGTATGTTGGACTGAAGTGGGAGATTCACCTTTGTTGGGCCCGGACCTAGTTCGTGAAACCACTGAGAAAATTGCCCTCATTCGTAAAAGATTGATCACCGCTCAAAGTCGGCAAAAGAGTTATGCAGACAGGAGAAGGTGACCCTTATCCTTTGAGATAGGCGATCATGTATTTCTAAAAATCTCTCCTAGGAAGGACTTGATGAGGTTTGGCAGAAGTGGGAAGTTATCACCAAGGTTTATTAGCCCCTTTGATATCATCGAATGAGTTGGAGAAGTGGCGTATCGTCTCGCATTACCTTCCCAGCTTTCGGGAGTACATAATGTATTCCATGTGTCTATGATCCGTAAATATGAACCTATCCCCTCTCATGTGTTAGATTGGATGGAAATTGAAGTAGACGAGGAAGTATCTTACGAGGAGAAGACAATTCCCCTAGTCAAGGTGTTATGGCATCACCACGAGGTGAGGCAACGTGGGAATGAGAAACCGAAGTCCGCGAGAAGTATCCTGAGTTGTTCTTAAATTAGTGATGTATTATATTTCATGCTTTTCTTAAGTAACCAATGAACTTGATCTTGAACCACAAAAATCTTATTGTCCTTCGTTTTGACTATGAGTTTGAAATGGTAACATGTCTACCTTGGGTATTGTTAATATATTTGTATCCCTTCAAAGGTTGTAAGCGTTGAAAGTAAGCTAAATTTCCTCTTATTCCTTGTTGTTGGCACCGTGGTTTATGTGAAGGTATATGTGTATGACAATTATGGTTGGAACTATTAGCATTGATGAATGGTTCAATGAAGATGATAGACGAATATAATGTATTTATCTGCATTTGTTGAGATTGCCTTATGTTTATCTGGTTAGTAACGAAGATTAATTTCGGCGGCGAAATTCTTTTAGGGGGAAAGATTATAACGATCTGGGTTTTGGACCCGACCTTCATCGTATTCTGGGCTTAGGTTACACAGTTCAATAATGTATTTGTACTTCATTTTTCTCCTTTAACTTTTGAATTTGAGTTTTGGTTGTGTTAGGCGTGTTTTGGTCAGGACGGTTGTTGTGTGGTTCAAGTATTTCTGTAGACACCCCATTTTTGACCGTCCTCAAGACTTGGACGTCACCGTTTGAACACTCGGTGATCATCCTTGTTCATGCTTGTTTTGAGTTCTCGGAGGTCTCAGCTACGCGCCTTGCCTCAGAATCTCTTAACTCGACTGTTTTGTGTTTAATTTTGCACCAAACACTTGTGTTTTTGCTTCTGAGGGTAGAGAGTAGCTTGTTAGCTACCCCTGACACCCACCGGCCCTAGCTTGAGGCCACCGGCCGTGTATTCTTGCTACCGACCATTGATGGAATATACCATTAGCCGGTCGGCATTTGGTGTGGTCGGCCGACCATCTGTTTGGCCGATGGACTCCTTTTCTGGTCGAGACCACCTTTTTGCCTTTTTTAGGCATAATGCGTGCCAGCTGTGCTAGCTGGAATGCACGGACTCTGCCCCCCATGCACGGGTGTGGCTATTTTAAACCTTTGCACCTTTTTGGTCCAAGCTTCCTAGAGAAGATTGTACCCTTTGCTCAAGCTTCTTGAGGAAGCTTAACCCTTTGTCATAGCTTCCTGAAGAAGCTTGCACCCTTAGCTTAACTTCCCTTGGAAGCCTTGACCCTTTTGGATAGCTTCCCTTGGAAGCTTAGTCTTTGCATTGTCTATATAAGAGACCCCTCTTCTCTTTAGATGGGGGTTCAGCAAAAACCAGAGCAAAATACATATATATATACAGCTGATATACATCTTCTCTCTCTATATCTCCCTCTCTCTCTTCATTTGTGTGTGTTTGAGGGCGTAAAAGGGTGATTTGTTCTTACTTTTGCACTAAAACACACACCATTACACCATACTTCGACTTTGGGAGGTGTTGAGGGTTTATTCTTGAGGTTTTGAGCTGGTTTTGATCAGAAGAAGGTGGCTGGACTTGCTGTTCTTGAGGTGTTCTTCAAGGGTAACACTTTTGCTTTAGATTCCCCAATCTTGCACTAGCTTTTGACCTGCTTTTCATATTGATTTGAGCTTCGTGTATAACTGAAAAAAGTCTTGTATTTGCATGCTTAAGATACTTCATTAAGGTCATTTTGTTGTTTGGGGTCGATCTCCCCCTCTTAGGCCTTGTTTGGCCCTTTTTGTACTCTTTTGGCTAAGCTTTGGGGACTTTTGTGTATTGACCTTCTCACCACTAAAATTCAGTGGATTTTTAGTGGTGAAGAAGGTATTTTGAGGTCTTGCATAGGGGTGGGACACCCCTCTCCCTCTGTCACTCTTTCTTTTGCATTTTTGGCTCATAAGTGTAGCATGCATGATTAGTTGTTCTTGGCTTCATTTCGGAGTTTTTTGGGTGTTTTCGGGTCATATTATGCCTCTGTTTTTGGTCGGATTAATGGCCCCTTTCATGTTTAATATACTTGCTTTGCATTCATCTCTTTGGCCTAGAAGTGCATCATGCATTTAACCTACCATGCTCTCATGTTTTGGCCTAACTTTGTGAAGTTCTTAGTCATGTCTTACCATGCTTAAGGTCTATTGGGAGCTTCTTTGATCATAGTTACCATGTTTGGTATAGCCCTTTTGTGTTTTGGCTTGTGAGCCTTGGGGGTGTGAGTCATGAGCATGTTTTAGTTGGGTTGTTTCAACGATTTGGAGTCATTTCACATGCCATTTCAGTCCCTAATCCATGTTCCTATGCATGTATCCATCACCCTTTTCATGCCTTGAAGAGGTGTCCTTTTGTGCCTTGAAATGAGCATTGTGCATGCTTATGTATTTAAGTTTTTGGGGCTGCCATATCAGTGGGTTTTGGGGCATATTTTGATGCATGAAAACTCTATTTTGGGTTGCTTAGTTCATGCCATGTTTGCTTGGGATAGGTGTTAAGCAATGCTCTCTTTTGTGGCCTTGAATACCTTCTATTTTGCATCCATTCCCTAGCGTGTCTTGGTGTCATCTTTTGCATGCTTTTCAGAGTTTAACATGAGTGTTTGATGTCCAAGCATATTGCCTTTAAGTATGCTTAGAGTTGTCTCCTTCCATGCTTAGATGACAGGCCTTGGTGTGTGCATGCTTGCATGCATAAGTTGTGCCATCTTTGACCCTTTTGGCCACTGTTTTAGGGTGTGGCTGAGGCCTCCCATTTCAGTCTAAGTCCATTCTTGTACATAGTTGTATGTTTGACTTGTTGCCTCTCGTTGCATGCTTGCATTGTACCATGTTTGCATCACATGTTAAATTGCATTGTATTGCCTCTTGCATGATTAGCACATTGCATGCTTGCATAATAGATTGCATTGCATTTGGCATGTTTTGCATCTTGGCCTCATGTTGCATTCTTGAGCCATGTTTGTATACATGCATTGCATTGCTTGGTTTGGGGTGTCAAACCAAGCATGAGGGTTGAGGGTGGTCGTACTCCAAGTGATGTAACACGTCACAATCCTCGGTCGCCGACACCCTTGATCTCAATATGATAGGGTGTTGGCATTCATCTCTTTTGTTGCATGCATTTTACATTGAATGGCAAACTTGGCCTCTTAGGCCATCATGCATCAAAATGCATAATTGATGGCCCGAGGGTCGAGGGTCATGCTCCCTTGAGTCCATTCCATGATGGGGAGTGTAGCCATGCTCACATTTACTTGAAAATTCCATGCCATACACTACTTGCCCTGTG